ACAGATTTCCAGGGCATACGCGACTCTCTGCCCAATCTACACTTCCCTGCGTAAGGATGGTAGCTGGAGACCAGACCCCTTCACCCCTCTGGGTGAGCTTGCCCCCATTCCCAGATGTGTTTACATCCTGTCCCCTCATTCCTTCGTGGGCTTGACAAACTGGTTTACAGAGATGATACTTACTCTCACATTTCCCCAGGCTTTGGCTGTGAATGGCATCTCTTGCTCAGACATTCACAAGAAAGGCCAAGTTTTAGTAACAACTTCCTTTACGATTAAAGTTAGCAGCAAAACAGAACAAGTCTGGAGCTAATCCCTCCAATTCTTTCTACAGTGACAGAGGTAGTGTTAAACTGACCCAGGCTAAGAGATACTCCTTTCTCTGATGTGGGATAGGATTAGTTAGTCTTTTTCCCATCTTCTTTCTCCACTGATCTCCTTCTCCCTGAAGGGGAGAACCAAGGGAGAGACAAAGTTCTTTCTACCCCTTTTCCTTTCTCCCAGTTCCTCCACAGCCGAGCTTTAACTTGTCCCAAGTGTCCAGAAAGAGCACCCCAGAGAGTCGCACTCTCCCCCAAAAGGGGAGAGCAGGAGCACAGCAGCCTTGTCCTCTTCTCCTGCTCTCTGCCAGTCTCCTCCTAGATTTCCCTCACCCGTTATCTTTATAAAGACTACCAGAATCCTCCATTCAGGTGGAGCAGGTTTTAAAGGGGATTTACCCAGATCTCTACCTGCCTACAGACTGATCAGTAAACAACCTCTCCCAAGTTGCATGCTGGGTCTTGTAGTCTGGGTCTTGCCCTAATGTTAATAAAGCTAAATGTCTTAAAGTCACTGCACTAAATGAAGCATGGACAGGCGGTCTGAATGGAGCAGCTGGTGCAGAATATAAAGTAATTCTAAAGTCTAAACAATGAATCGCATCTTACTAAAAAGCTTTTAAATAATGAGGTACTGATCATAAATGCTATCTAATGTGAGCTCATTAATTCTACAAGATCAAATCAAATATATTTTAAGATGCTTGCAAATTCTACATTGCAGAAGAGCAGTTGTGTTTTTTTTTTCAGTTTGTGTTGAACTGACCGTATACACAAAGATTTGGGACGTGATCAATCTTGCCATTTTGTAGGCTGTGTTGTACATTCCCTATTCCACACTGCCTCATTCTGCATGCTGTACTGTACATTCCCTATGCCACACACCAATATTCTGCACACTGTGCCAAATAGTCCCCAGTTCTGCGCTGCCTTCTTCAGTATACTGCATTATACATTACAGATTCCACCCTTCCTCATTCTGTTCGGCTGAAATTCAAGCTGTGGTTGGGCTTGTCAGAAAATCCTGGTTTGATATACTTCAATTAAGAAATCAAAGGAACTAAGCAAAGAAGAGTCAGCCAAACATTGAGTGCAGCTGTGTTCAGATATTCTGAAAGCTGAAGGTGCCAGCTGTCAATATACAATAGCTGGCAGTGGGATATTCGTCCACCCATGCTGTGAAAAATTAATTTGGGGAGTCTACAGATTTCTCTTGTGCAGCTTGCCTGGCTGAACAAGAGAAATCTTTACATCTATGATAAGCAACTTAGCACTTCAGAAGGGCCCAGACAAAACAGATTCACACAAATCTACCTGCAAGTCTTTCTTGGCAAGTTCTGAGTTAAGCTACTGCTGCATTTTTTGGACTTGCACTGCTTTATCAGTATAATGCAAGTGGTGAGCTCTCTAAACCTGAATACAATACTCTGAGTGGGGTATATGTACTATAACATACCATTTATGCTTTCAGTTTCAGGGCTTTCTTTCTCCAGTGTCATAACATTGATGCAACTTAGCAGACTGATTGGTATCCAAGCAAACGGCATCCGATATTTCCCCAGGCGTTGACAAAAAGATTCAGCCTGTGCTTTAAGTTTGTCTATTTTTTCTTTAGTCTGCAATAAAGGTAAACAAACTCAATATTATTATTAATATACAGGACTTATATAGCGCCAACACTTTACGCAGCGCTTTACAAAATGTCATATATCTAAGTGTACTAATGTAGTTAAAAAAAAGTAGTAAAAAAAAAATCTAAACTGTGACCTTCTAAAAAATATTGACATTTTTTGGCATCCCAAAATATAGACCAGCTGCTACTCTGGGACTACATGTCCCAAGAAACACTGAATGGTGGCTTGCAGCACTGTATTCAAGAAGAGTAGGGGTTATTCTTGGTGCTCTGGCCAAAAAGAACGAAGCTGGATGAAACTGAAAGTCATTCAGCTTGGAAACATCCATAGGTTCAACCTTAAAGCTCCACAGTGGGGAGCACAGGGGAAAACAAATAAAGACTGTGACAAAAGTAGCTCCTGGATAGCAGCTAATATAGGGTCTACAAAGTTCTGCGGCTGGAGATTTACATTTCTGCACTTTTTTATGTGTCTTTTCTCAGCTCTACCTCTATTATACATACAACAACAAGAAAACAATTGACCCAAACCAGATATCTTTGTTTAATATCAATATTTTTTGGTCAATCTTAACCCAGGTACCATGGGACTGCATACAGTACAACAAGATGGCTAGTCATTAGGCTGCTTAATTATGTGTTGCTTGTGTATTGTTTTAACTAGGTTCTCAGAATATGAGAAAGTTAACTAAAGACCAACAACTTACTTTTCCACCATCGCTCTCTTTTAAAACCATGTATGGTTCTGAGCATTCTGAGATTTCTCCCTGCTGAAGAACCTTTTCAATCTGTAAAAGGAAAACAAACAGTAATTAAAAATATATATATATCATATATAAATATATAAAAAGTACACGCAGTTTTGTATTTGGCACCAGCTACCGGACAATCCAACCTGGTTTGCTAGTTATCATTTCAGTCCTTTATCTCCCAGGTCTCCCCACAACAAAAAACGTCTTAGCGCTGGCTTTGCCTGTGCACTTGCTCCCCATATACACTTATCCTTTTTGCCAGGGGAGAACTTAAATACTGTTTCCTAATGTTTTCAAACATAAAGTTGAACTCTGGGAAAAAGCAAAAAATTGCTCTTGTAGTGTGTTCCCCTTCCCACTGCAAGGGTTTTGCCTAGGTGATGATAATTACAGTACTGAGCTTACCTTATTCTTCCATCACTCATTCTTCCCTGATGACCTACACTCCAGAATGTGAGCAGTATCTCAACTTCCTCACATGAAATGGACTACTGGTCCTGTCATGCTCTCTGGTCATGTCAGAGTGCATTCTTTCAGGCAGTGAAGGTAAAAGGCTTCTGGAGACTGGATGCACCAAAAGGAAGAAGCCTGCAGGGGCAAGGAATAAGGTATTTCACCATATTCATCATCTCTTAGGCAAAACAAGCAGTTAACCCTTGTAGTGGAGAAGAGGATCCACTGCAGGAATACTATTTTTTTTCCCCTTACGTTTAGCCTTAAAGTGTTACTAAACCCATAACAGTAAAATCAGTCTGTATATACAGTAAAGCATGCTTGTTATACTCACTGTGAAATATAAGGGGTTAATCCTCTGCATTGTGTAAAAATGCTGTTTTATCCTGACTTCTCTGATCCTCCCCTTCTTCCAGTGCCCCCCCCTCTTATCTCCTGATAAGACATATTGTCACTCTGTACATGCTCAGTTTGGTGTGTATTCCAAGAGAGTTTTTTTTTTTCTTGGGAGAGTGCATGTGATAAACACAGGGCTAATCAGCACTGTCCAGACAGAGGTCAGGGGTCCTGCATCCTCCTAGAGCAGAAATAAAACTCCTCCTACAAGCTTTAACCAGTGCTCTGCTGGACATTGATAGAAGTCACAAGACTGCTCTAACTGCTGATGAGAAAAGGTGTTTAGCAGTTTATATTTACTAAAATAATTGCATTTCCATGTTCTGTCTACTGTGGGAGACCAGATACAGTGAATGCAGGGTCCTTGGTTTAGAAACACTTTAGGTGGGCACTTTTTTCTCTCAAAAGATAAGTTTATTAAAGTAGGGAAATACTTTCCAAAGCCAATCACTCTGATATGAGTTGATAGCTGCTTCTTTAGTATCATTCCATTAAATTGGTATAAACAGGCATAAAAAGAAAAACATTCAGTACTCCACGGATGGCATCTAAATGACTGTAAACAACTAACTTGCCAATGATTTAGAATTTAGATTCAACTAGAGTGCCCAGGTATCCTGGAGTGGCTTTAGGTTACTTCAGGGGTGCTGTGGCAAACTGCCTAAAACTTGCCCAAAAATGTGTATACAAGCCAGAGGTTTATCAAGCCTGCCTTTTAGTTACACAAAGCCACCGCTTTTCATTGTGCACCATTACAACCTTCTAGCGCCGGCTTCTCAACGACCAATGACGTCAATGGTTGATAAGGACAGTAGGTGCCTGCACAACATCCTTGTTTGCCCCTCTCCTGCCCTCTCTGCTAATGCTTGAGTCACATTAGCTGAGTGAGGGAAAGAAACTGAGGGACAAAAGAAACATTGGAGTACTAGTCAGTACCAGTGTGCAAAGGTGTATGTGCTTTGGAAGAATTAATCACCTCTAACATTGGGTGTTCTACATATGAGGATGTCACTGCATTATGTGAAACTATTAATTTATTTTTTTACATTTTAAATGTGCAGAATTTTAATGGGTGCCTTGACTGAAAAAAGGTTGAGAAATAATGGATTCAACAACCCCAGTTTATGCAATTACATTCCCCAATTATTACATAACCCACAGTGGGAACTGAATCCTATTTTAGGATGCTTTAAATCTGAACATACATTAAAGCATAAGCATATTGATAAGAATGTCTATTATATTTTTTTTACAGTGAATTCTAATTCAAAACACAGACCCAGGTAAACTGTTTGTAGTAAATGTCTAGAGTTAGTCTTCAACTCAGTAACTTCCACCAACTGGAAACACCATCCAGACTGCAATGACTCTGCTGAGACCTCAAGATGGATCACACTGCATCAGAAAAAAAGATGTCCTCACCTTAACAACTAGGAATATATCATGAGAAGGGTAAGTAATTGAGAACAGTGCAGTTCTTGCTTGGCTTGAAGGGGCCACACTCGGTGTGTGAGCACGGAGGTGGTTCTTGAATGCATCTGAATTCAAGTCACAGTGAAAAGTCTCTGAAATCTATGAAACGGAAACATACAGCATCAAGCAAATGTCAAAGCTAAATCATTTTAACAGTATCTTACTATATTAATCTTTAGTTAATCAAATTTAGGACTGCAAACTGTAGAATCACGGTTACTACTAATCATATATATAAAAGTGTCTGAAAGAAGAACGTTGGTTACCCATAGAAACTATCTACCCCTTATGTGGCCAGTGCAGGGTAAGCACATAAAGAAGCTGACTGGTTGCCAAAGACATAGCAATTTTCAATTCAAAACGTTCACTCAAGGGGCATAATTTGTTGTACTGTTTTGTCATTCTCTCATCATATAAACACAATGGGGTTTATTTACCAAAGTTGGTTTACTCAGAATCCCGTGCACTTCTGCATAGAAACCAATCAGCTTCCAGGTTTTATTGCTAAAGCTTAACTAATTTCTGTCCAGGCCATGTATATAAACGGCCGGACGGGAGCAGTGCAGGGGTGGGTGGCCTTTATAAACGTCCTCCCCGCTTCCCTGCCTGTGCGCGCTCCCTAGGAGCACGCGGCACCGCAAATCGGTGCCCGCTCTGTCCTCCGGACAGAGTGGAACACCGATCGCTGTACGGACCTCTGTGTGAGGTCCCGATCATGTGATTACTGATTGGCAAAATCCAATCACTGTCCAAATCTTGTAGACTTCACCTCCGCAACATCTCCAAGATACACCCGTTCCTAACCTCGGAAACCACTAAGCAACTCATTCACTCCCTTGTTATATCTCGCCTTGACTATTGTAACTCCCTCCTCATTGGCCTACCTCATCGCAGGCTATCCCCTCTTCAGTCTATCATGAATACTGCTGCCAGACTCATCCACCTTACTAACCGTTCTGTATCTGCCACCCCTCTCTGCCAATCCCTCCACTGGCTTCCCGTTGTCCAACGGATAAAATTCAAAACACTAACAATAACGTATTAAGCCATTATAACTCTGCCACAAATTACATCACCGATCTTGTCTCTAAATATCACCCAAACCGTCCTCTCCGCTTGCAAGACCACCTACTCTCTAGTTCCCTTGTCTCCTCCTCCCATACTCGTCTCCAGGACTTCTCCAGAGCTTCCCCCATCCTCTGGAACTCTCTACCCCAATTTATCAGACTATCGCCTACCTGCTCACTTTTAGGCGATCTCTGAAAACCTATCTCTTCAGGGAAGCATATCCTGCCCTCAGCTAATAACTGGAATCTTCTACTCTTCCAACCAGTCCATCCCCCCCACAGTTACTACCTTTTGTACCACTAGCCCCTCCCTCCTAGATTGTAAGCTCCAAGGAGCAGGGTCCTCAAATCCCTCTTGTATTGAACTGTATTCTTGCTTTTAGTTGCTACTGGCAAAATATACTGTGGACAGATGAAACCAAGATTAAGTTGTTTGGGAAGAATCTCCCGTTATATTGTAAAGCGTTGAGCAAACTGTTGGCGCTATATAAATCCTGTATAATAATATTAATATAATAATAATAAAGAAGATAAATGTTTAAAAATATGTTTTTTGACTCTACAGGTTTTCTGCAGCTCCATTGTGGAATAGGAAAGATAAGAATAACTTTTATTAAGCAGTGTAACTTAATAATGCATTTTTAAATTTACACCTTATGATCACTACCATTGGCTGTTGTAGTGATCACTCAAGTCAATGTGTAACTCACCAAATAGTGAAGCAAGGATGAGGGTGACAGCTCTGGAGCTTGCACTTTGAAAATCAGTTTGATAATGGAAACTTCTATGCTGACCAGTTTGACTGTTTTTTTTGAGAGTACAGTTCTACTGGTTGTAAAATATCATTGTACATTTAAACCAGCACAGTAATTCAGAGGATAACATTTAATTACCTTTTTTCGTTCTTTACAGTCATATAGCGCAATGCTCACAAAGAGCGGCTCAATGTCAATATCAAATCTGTGGGAGAAAGAGGAAATGTACATGTAACACAGAATGTTATGCACATCTTCCCAAAGTAAATAAAAGGAAATTAATTACTTAAAAATGCTTGTAAAATAAAAAGTAACACGCGGTTCATATTAAGGTCTGCAGGCTTTATAGCACATTAAAGTCTGTATATCTCCACAAGGAACACATAGCTAACCATAACCTGTATAGCCACAAAGGGAAGTCTCTCTCTTTAGCTGAATGGCAGTCTCTGTCAGAATGTTTTCCAGTTCTGCACAGCAAGGCAAGATGTGATGGATTTGCTATGGTTTGGGGTTAACTGTACTCTGCCTTTATACAAACTACTATAAACTATGTATGTGTGTATACGTGTGTGTGTGTATGTATGTATATATATATATATATATATATATATATATATATACAGTTGCAAGAAAAAGTATGTGAACCCCTTGGGATTACGTGGAGTTTTGCATGAATTGGGCATAAAATGTGCTCTGAACGTCATCTAAGTCACAACAATAGAGGAACACAGTCTGCTGAACATAATACTACACAAACATTAGATGTTGCCATGGTTTAATTGCACATAACATGTAAACATTCACAGTGCAGGGAGGAAAAAGTATGTGAGGCCCTAGCTTAATGACTTCTCCCAGAGCTAATTGGAGCCAGGAGTGAGCCAACCTTGACTCCAATCAGTGTGATGATATTGGATGTGTTGCTGACAGGAAACGTTTGGTTGAGGTTATTGCTGCCAAAGGAGGGTCAACCAGTTATTAAGTCCAAAGGTTCACATACGTTTTCCTCCCTGCACTGTGAATGTTTACATGTTATGTGCAATTAAACCATGGCAACATCTAATGTTTGTGTAGTATTATGTTCAGCAGACTGTGTTCTTCTATTGTTGTGACTTAGATGATGTTCAGAGCACATTTTATGCCCAATTCATGCAAAACTCCACGTAATCCCAAGGGGTTCACATACTTTTTTTTGCAACTGTATATATATATACAGGTGAAACTCGAAAAATTAGAATATCGTGCAAAAGTTCATTTATTTCAGTAATGCAACTTAAAAGGTGAAACTAATTTATGAGACAGACTCCTTACATGCAAAGCAAGATAGTTCAAGCCGTGATTTGTCATAATTGTGATGATTATGGCTTACAGCTCATGAAAACCCCAAATCCACAATCTCAGAAAATTAGAATATTACATGCAATCAATAAAACAAGGATTGTACATAGAACAATATCGGACCTCTGAAAAGTATAAGCATGCATATGTACTCAGTACTTGGTTTAGGCCCCTTTTGCAGCGATTACTGCCTCAATGCGGTGTGGCATGGAAGCTATCAGCCTGTGGCACTGCTGAGGTGTTATGGAAGACCAGGATGCTTCAATAGTGGCCTTCAGCTCTTCTGCATCATTCGGTCTCATGTCTCTCATCTTTCTCTTGGCAATGCCCCATAGATTCTCTATGGGGTTCAGGTCAGGCGAGTTTGCTGGCCAATCAAGTACAGTAATCCCATGTCATTGAACCAGGTTTTGGTGCTTTTGGCAGTGTGGTCAGGTGCCTGCTGGTTTCCTGCTGGAAAATGAAGTCAGCATCCCCATAAAGCTCATCTGCGGAAGGAAGCATGAAATGCTCCAAAATCTCCTGGTAGACAGCTGTGTTGACCCTGGACTTAATGAAGCACAGTGGACCAACACCAGCACATGACATGGCTCCCCAAATCAACACAGACTGTGGAAACTTCATACTGGACTTCAAGCATCTTGCAGTGTGTGCCTCTCCATTCTTCCTCCATATTCTGGGTCCTTAGGTTGCAAATGAGATGCAAAAGTTGCTCTCATCAGAAAAGAGGACTTTGGACCACTGAACAACAGATCGAGTCTGTTTTTCTTTAGCCCGGGTAAGACGCTTCTGACGTTGTTTGTTGTTCAGGAGCGGCTTGACAAGAGGAATACGACATTTGAAACCCATGTCCAGGATCCGTCTGTGTGTGGTGGCTGTTGATGCACTGACTCCAGCCTCAGTCCACTCCTTGTGAAAGTCCTCAACACTTTTGAATGGCCCTTTCCTGACAATCCTCTACAGGCTGTGGTCATCCCTGCTGCTTGTGCACCTTTTTCTTCCACACTTTTCCCTTCCATATAACTTTCTATTAATGTGCTTTGATACAGCACTTTGGGAACATCCAACTTCTTTTGCAATTACCTTTTGATGCTTTCCCTTCTTATGGAGGGTGTCAATGATGGTTTTCTGCACAACTGTCAGGTCAGTAGTCTTTCCCATGATTGTGATTCCTGCTGAACCAGACTGAGAGACCATTTAAAGGCTCAGGAACCCTTTGCAGGTGTTATGGCTTAATTAGCTGATTAGAGTGGGACACTTTGAGCCCAGAATATTGCACCTTTTCACAAAATTCTAATTTTCTGAGATTGTGGATTTGGGGTTTTCATGAGCTGTAAGCCATAATCATCACAATTATGACAAATCACGGCTTGAACTATCTTGCTTTGCATGTAAGGAGTCTATCTCATAAATTAGTTTCACCTTTTAAGTTGCATTACTGAAATAAATGAACTTTTGCACAATATTCTAATTTTTCGGGTTTTACCTGTATATATATATATATATATATATATATATATATATATATATATATATATATTGCTCAATAAAATTAAAGTAACACATTGAAAACACATCAGATCTCAATGGGGAAAAATATCATGCTGGATATCTATACTGATATAGAATAAGTAATGTGTTAGGAACGTAAAGATGCTCCATCATTTGATGGAAATGAAAATTATCAACCAGAGGGCTGAATTTAAATACACACCAAAAATCAAAGTGAAAAAAGTATGCAGCAGGCTAGTCTATTTTGCTGAAATTTCATTGCAGCAACTCAAAATGGTACTCAGTAGTTTGTATGGCCCCCACGTGCTTGTATGCATGCCTGACAATGTCAGGGCATGCTCCTAATGAGACAATGGATGGTGTCCTGGGGTATTTCCTCCCAGATCTGGACCAGGGCATTACTGAGCTCCTGGACAGTGTGAGGTGCAACCTGGCAGCATTGGATGGACTGAAATATGATATCCCAGAGGTGTTCTATTGGATTTAGGTCAGGCTAGCGTGGGGGCCATTCAATGGTATCAATTCCTTCATCCTCCAGGAACTGCCTGCATACTCTTGCTACATGAGGCCAGGCATTGTCATGCACCAGGAGGAACCCGGAACCACTGCACCAGCGTAGGATGGATCCAAGGATTTCATCCTGATACCTAATGGCAGTCAAGGTGCCTGTAGAGGTCTGTGTGTCCTTCCACGGATATGCCTCCCTAGACCATCACTGACCCACCACCAAAACGGTGATGCTGAACGATGTTACAGGCAGCATATTGTTCTCCACAGCTTCTCCAGAACCTTTCACGTCTGTCACATGTGCTCAGGGTGAACCTGCTCTCATCTGTGAAAAGCACAGGGTGCCAGTGGCGGACCTGCCAATTCTGGTGTCCAATGGCAACTGCCAATCCAGCTCTATGGTGCAGGGCAGTGAGCACAGGGCCCACTAGAGGATGTCGGACCCTCAGGCCACCTTCATGAAGTCTCTTTCTGATTTTTTTGGTCAGAAACATTCACACCAGTGACTGTATATTTATTTATGTATATTTATAAAAAAAAGGTAAATTTTTTTTATTTAGTCTTGACAACAAAAAAAATATATTACTTTTTAATCTGCACTGCACACTGCTATCTGCAGCCAGCATTGGCAAAACTTCTCTTGATTCCTAAAGCTGCAGCAAAACTCCCTACACAGATATGATATGACACTTACAAACCCATATGAAGTGATTATATGAAGGAGGAACTCTAATGGCTAAAGCCAGCCATGCACGGATTGAAATTCAGCTAGTTGTTGGCCAATCTTAACAACTTGCGTCTTTAGTTTGCATGTAAGTATGAAAATAAATGTATACAAGTAAATACAAATTGTTAAGCCAGCAGAATGCCTCTTGCATATGATCTCAATTTATATGTGTGACAAATCAGGAGTTGGCTTTATCCAATAGACGGGAGGCAACACTGACTCAGCTGCTTTTTACACAACAAAGATACCATTAATGGCAATGATTGCAAAGAAATTAAACAAGATCCAATACTGTACCTCAGAGTATGCAGCTTCACCATTATTCTGAATCCCACATGCTCCTTAGGACAATCTGGTAAAGGGCGGATTTCAACAGTATCCTCCTAAAATAAGTACAGAATTATACCAGAAATACAGATATATTTAAAGCTGAACTAAAGTGTAAAAAAATTGCAAACAGGCATGATTATGCAATGTCTCTTCTGCAATAAAATCTACTTACCTGCCTGTTCGCAAACCCCAGTCGAATGTACTGTGAGCTGCACAGAATGTTGGAACCAATATACCGTAAGTATTTTTACCTTTAGTTCCGTTTTGCAGTCAAATTTGCAAAACCTCGCTATATGTTTTGATCTTTTACTATTCACACAATTCATACCCTAAAAATAATGTTTTAAAAAATATTTCTTGCCTTTCTAGGTGTTTGTTTGGAGCAGACCGCAAGCAGGCTGCAAGCTACTTTGAACAATTTGAAATGAATGGAGACTAAATCTATCCCTACTGACAAAGGACACATTAAGTTTCATTAACCTACAATAGGAAAACCAGTGTATGTGGGGAATAGGTGCTATTGATAGGTTATGTCATTGGAGGGTATCATCCCTTTTGAAACCATAATCACAGAGAAACACCAAATGATGGGACTGTAAATACACCTCCAAAGGTCAAATATATAAATATAACAACCTTATTAAAAATATTTTATAATATTTATTTATGTATATATATTTTCTAGTATTTATATGTGTATTTGCATATACAGTTGTGTTCAAAATAATAGCAGTCAGACATCACTAACCTGATCAATCACTGTTTTTGTTAGAAATGATATTTCTACATGGCAAATAATTTACTAGCAGGTGTAGTAGAGCAATAGAAATCCAACAGACCCAACAGTCATGACATGCATGCTGCTGATTCTGTGTAATTGAATCACTAATTGAAAGGGGCATGTTCAAAATAATAGCAGTGTGGAGTTCTATTAGTGAGGTCATTCATTCTTTGAAAAACAGGTGGCAATTATTGCCCTTATTTAAGGAAGGAAGGCAGCAAATGTTGTACATGCTGGTTACAGTGCATTTCTCTCTGAAATTCTGAGGAAAATGGGTCGTTCCAGACATTGTTCAGAAGAACAGCGTACCTTGATTAAAAAGTGGATTGAAGATGGGAAAACATATAAAGAAGTGCAGAAAATGATAGGCTGCTCAGCTAAAATGATCGCAAATGCTTTAAAATGGCAACCAAAACCTGAAAGACGTGGAAGAAAGCGAAAAACTACCATTCCAATGGATAGAAGAATAGCCAAAATGGCAAGGACTCAGCCAACAATCAGCTCCAGGAAGATCAAAGAAGGTCTAAAGTTCCCTGGGAGTACTGTTACAATTAAAAGACGCCTATGTGAAGCCAAGCTATCTGCAAGAAGCCCCCGCAAAGTCCCACTGTTGGAAAAAAGATGTGCTGAAGAGGTTACAATTTGCCAAAGAGTACATTGACTGGCCTAAAGAGAAATGGTGCAACATTTTGTGGACTGATGAAAGTAAGATTGTTCTTTCTGGGTCTAGTGGCCGGAGACAGTTTGTCAGGCGACCCCCAAACACTGAATTCAAGCCACAGTACACTGTGAAGACAGTGAAGAATGGTTGCGCAAGCATCATGATATGAGGATGTTTCTCATACTACGGTGTTGGGCCTATTTATCGCATACCAGGGATCATGGATCAGTTTGAATACATCAGAATACTTGAAGAGGTCATGCTGCCTTATGCTGAAGAGGAAATACCCTTGAAATGGGTGTTCCAACAAGACAACGACCCCAAACACACCAGTAAACGTGCAACATCTTCCAGACCAACAAGATTGACGCTATGGAGTGGCCAGCCCAATCCTCGGATATTAATCCAATAGAAAACTTGTGGGGTGACATTAAAAATGCAGTTTCTGAGGCAAAACCAAGAAATAGAGAAGAACTGTGAATGTAGTCCAATCATCCTGGGCTGGAATACCTGTTCACAGGTGCCAGAAGTTGGTTGACTCCATGCAACACAGATGTACAGCAGTTCTCAGAAACAGTGCTTATACAACTAAATATTAATTAAGTGATTCAAAGGAAAGCAAAATCTTCAAACATTTTTTAGTTTATATAGAGAATGTTTGAGTTTGTAAAGAATACAAACACTGCTATTTTTTTGAACAGTCTAATATTCACTTTTCTTCAATTTTTTTAGAGGAACAACACAAATTTGATATATTTTTCTTCATGTTTTGATTTGGAATAGAATGTGTAGTGTTCCCAATGTATTTGTGTGTATTGAAATAAAAGCTATTAGAAGGATTTTGAGCTTTATTCACTTTTTTCAACACACTGCTATTATTTTGAACACAACTGTATATACAGTATATATATATATATATATATACTTATTAAAATATTTTTTTTTTTTCCCTTTTTCTTCCCACCTTTCTTCCTTTTATTTTGTGATTAGCTATGTAATAAAGTTCATTATGTGTGTAATTGCTGTAATGATTTAATTTCCTCAAATTTTCAGTATCATTGTAGTAATTACCATATCCACTTCTTTGAGATCTAAGGTCCTGAGGAAGCAGGTTACCCCGCAAAATGCATTGACCTACAGTTCAGCTCTCTAAAGGACTCCAATGTAACAGTCCCTCCACCACTATATGTGGGAGATGAGGGACAGATTCAACCTCCTATATTACTAATGTTTTTAATGTAATCATTTTATTTATATCAGTGGAATAAAGTATTGTAAAATATTTTTAATAAGGTTGTTATGTGCATATTTGACCCTTGAAGGGGTATTTAAAGTCCCATCATTCGGTGTTTCTCTATAATTAACCTACAATAGAAAAGCAAGGTTTCTAGATCTATAACCCTTGTTAGGACAGACAGTGGTCAAATCTAGTTTACAACTAACAATGAGATCTGCCAGCAGAGTACAGGGTTAATTAAGGTAAAATTACTTCCCCAGCCCCCTCTGCATAGCAAAACCTCCTCACAATAGAGGAAAGCTGCAGTTTTGAGGTTTTTAGAAAAGAGCAACAAAAATGTAATTTTAATTTATGCTATGTAAATGAGAACATGTAACAAATATGAAGCAGCTGTTATCCTGATTGGTTGCAAAGGTGGAAGAATGCTTTAAAGTGTAACTATTTTACTTTTAAAGATGATATACTACAAAGCAGGTGGGTAGAGAAAATAAGCACTACCTTCAATTTATTTTTTTTAGTTATGATATTGCTAAAGGTTGATGTAAAGCCCCGGTCGGCTGTTAAAGTAGAACTACAGGCAAAACTTTTTTTTTTTTCATTTTGGATAGAGCAAGGGAAGGTTATAATCCTTGACAGTTGTTTTTCCCCATCTGTGTCCCATTTAGGAGATTTTCCTTTACTTTCTGTCCCATAGCCAAGCAGGAAGTGAGAGGAAATCCCTGCAAATTAGGGGAATCTCTTGGGAAACCCCAGGTCACCAGAACTAGTGTCCCCATTGGAAGATTTCCCTCTATTACTTTTTTGGGGACAATCCAAACCATGGAATTTTCTTTACGTTCACTTTCAATGATAATGGTAAACAGGACAAAGAGAGAGTGTGAATCTCTCTAATAGGGTCACAGATAGCAATACAAACTGATAGGCATTCTAATCCCTCTCTGCTCTATCCAAAACATAAAAAAAGTTTTGCCTTTAGGTATACTTTAAATTAAGTCACTCACCCATACAAGCTTAACTTCACTTGCTTCCTACTAACCCATATGGAAGAAAAATATATTTGAAATATATTTTAAAACTACTCTTCCCAAATATATTGACATATATTTGAAATGCCATACTTTTGGCCATATTCAATATATTTCAAAATATATTTCAATAAATACATATATATTACAAAAAAATTATATATATATATATATATATATATTCTGTATGTTGAAACGCATTTTTATTGTTAAATATATGAAAAATATTTGTAATAATACATTTCAAATATACTGTATGTCTTTAAAAATACAAATCTACATTTTTGGGATGCATTTACAAATATATATGTAAAAATATATGTTAAAATGACTTTTAACACAAATCTGAAGAATATATTTAAAAACTATATATTTTCAAAAATATATATTTTTTTAATATATTCTTCACATTTTATTTAACATATAAAAAAGTAATTTTAACATATATGTTTACATATATTTGTGAATGCATTCCAAAAATTAAAATTTGTATTTTTATAGCCATACAGTATATTTGAAATGTATTTTAAAAATATTTTTCATATATTTTGTTATAAAAACACATTTCAACATACAGTGTGTGTGTGCATATATATATGTGTGTGTGTGTATATATATATGTATGTGTGTGTGTGTATATATGTGTGTCTGTATATATATATGTATGTGTGTGTGTGTGTATATATATATATATATATATGTATGTATGTATGTACATATATATATATATATATATATATATATATATATATATATCAAAAATATATTTCTATATATATAAATATATTGAATATGGCCAAAATTGTAGCATTTCAAATATATGTCAATATATTTGGGAAAAATATTGTTAAAATATATTTCAAATATATTTTTCTTCCATATGGAAAGCTCAGTCCTTTTGTATATGGTCATTGCAAAAAGTTTAGGTTGTGAAAGTGTTAGGTGTCACTTATGATAATGTTCGGAGATGGTGGCTAGTTACCTAGCTAGAGTAGTCCTTAAATATGATACTTCCAAAAAACACTGAAACCTTTACAAAGTCAGGACCAAGTACAGTCCTCCATCACCCTCATGATTTTTGTGCTTAAAGTGCACTCAAGCAAAAACAGCTTTCAAGTCACCAAACTTGTGTCTTAAAAAAACAGCTCACAAAATGGCTGCCAGCACTAAATGTTTTGTTAAGAACCCTAAAGGCAACTGATATCTAGAGATAATAAAACTTGTTACATAATCCTGTTTGAAGGTTCTAGTTTAGGAATGTTTCATAATATTTAAATAAGTTTTGGAATAATTGCTGGTTTTGCACACTAGGAAGACATTCCTCACAATTACTATAGCTGACTTAACATGATACCTCATCCATGGGGGGACTGAGGGCAAAGAGCTCTGCTTGTCTATTGGCCCTGCGAGCTTCTTCACTTTGCCTCTCCAAGTCTTCCACATTTGAAAGCTGAAGGAGGTTCGTTAAACGGCTTTCTGGATTTAGGCCACGTAGATCAAAGTCGCAAGCTGTGAGAGTACTTCTTCCAGATTCCGCAGACAAGCCGGCAGGTAGACCTCCTTCAGCCTAAGGGAATACACAATACAAGCCTTATTGGCAGAACAGAGAACAAAGAGGTGATACACCTCTAAAGAAGCATATACAGTTATTTGATGTACATGTGTAGAAAGGCAAGCAACAAGAAAACAGTTTCAATGTAGAAACAAAGTGTTCCCGTGAATATTCTAACAGGATATGGAAAAATTCAGTTATAATTCAACCAAAGAAAACATTTTTGTGAGTGGAAATGTTGACGAAAGATCTGAACCATATGGCAATCAGTTCAATAATGAGCAGTCTCAGCTCTACCTCTGTACTAATACAATAGTAACACATCATTTATCATGACATCTTAAAATGCGTAGAAGTATGTTTTGTAGCACCACATAAATAAGTGCTGGTCACAAACCTATAATAATCCTACAATCCTACTCAGTGGATGTGATAGCCAGTGTATGTCTGGAGAATGTTACAAGCTTCTTTAAAAGCAAATAGGTCCATTGGAACTCTCCATAGTGCTGAAACTGTGCAACTCCCGAGTGAAAAACTGGTACATCAATCACCATATTGGATTAATACCAAATGTGGAGTGCACTGATATCACCTATGCAGAATTCCTTGTGCATTTAAAATGGTTGTATTACCAGGATTCAGCTCAGCTGTTAAGCTTGGGCTTTTTTACATGGTGGTGGGGAAGAGGTGAAAACAAGTGGCTGAGCTGCGGTTTTACCACCCCCAGACCATCATGCTAAAGCCTACAATACAGCCAGACGGGGCTGTTCACAAGCTGTGGCTGCATTGCTTTGCATCTTGCCAAATTTAATGTGCATGTTGACTTTACAGGTGGCACCACCTGCCAAGGGCTTGTTCATGTTAGCGCTGCCTCCTGAACAGTTTTTCAGAAGGCATTTTAAAGGAGGCTATGAGGCGTTATGTCACCTCACCGTTTGTTTTAGCCCCTAAAAGCCGGCTCCTCTGTGCCAAAACTGCATGCAATGGATGCAGTTCCAAGATGGTTGTGGTGCAGGGGGTACAGGGGGTAGCAAAGCATCGCTACACCCCCATCCAGCTACCTTTGTAGCTTGGGGGGGAGGGTTTGGTAAAAGATAAAAACAGGCATTCAGGAGGATGCAAGATAGTCTGGCAGCGATGGCTTGGCCCACTCTGTAATGCAGTCCACCGTGGATTTCTTTTCAGAGATAAGCAAGTGTAGACTGGAGGAAGGAAGGAGCCTCTGTCTAAGCTAAGAATCTGAAATGTAGAGAAGACTTGGGGTCTGATATAACTGAAGGTGGTTGAATACATTTAGTGAACGTGGAACTTCACCCTCTCTGTCAACACTGACTATTTTTAATTCTTATGCTGCTAACATTAGTAAATAGATAGAAAGTCTATCATATTATTGAGTCCTACAGATTGGGAACACATTTGGTTGGCTACCAAATCCTCCTTGCAGAACGTAATAGCTGTAGAGACTAATTACATAGTATTGACCCGATGGTACTTGGTCCCGGCGAGGATTGCTAAATATACTCCCGGTTATTCCCCTAATTGTTTTTGGAGCTGTGCGGTGGTAGGAACATATTTTCATATTTGGTGGTCTTGCCCGGTAGCCCAAGCTTATTGGGCCGAAATGTTTCATATGCTGTCCTTACTTTTGCAAAGCTACTGTCGCCAGACCTGATCATAGCCCTGTTAAACCTTCACCCTCCATCCATATCTAAATCCCAATTTAAGCTTCTCCTGCAAGTCACCACGGCAGCTAAGCAAAATATGGCCAATTCATGGAAGCCGTCATCCCTATGTATTCTAGCTGTTAGAAACAAGGTAACGCAAGCTATGATTCAGGCCAAAGTGGAAGCAATCATTATGGACTCTGTCCCCAAATTCCTAAAGATCTGGAACCCCTGGGTGGAACGTTTCCTCCGGCCGAATTTTGACGATTCGCTGCTCCTCCCTTAACATTTTTTTTTTTTAGTCCCGCCCTATGATGGTCCTACGTGCCATTTCCTACACTGGTCCAGTCCCAATCTACCCCTTCTTTTCTAGTCTCACACCTCCTCTCCCCCTCCTCTGTTCCCTTTCTTGGTCTCCTTTATTCTTTCCTTCCTCTTTCCAACCTGCTCCCATTTTTTTTTTTCCTCTTCCTTCACTTTGCATGGAACCTATAGGTAGTTCTGAGGTGCAGTACACCCTTGGTACTTTACCCCCCTTTATACTGCATTTTTCTCGAATGTTTCATTGTGGTTCCCAGTTGTATGTTTTCACATGACATTTTTTTTCTTGCCTTAGGGCAACATGTTCTCCAATACTTCTGTATATGTATTTAAATGTCCTAAGCTTGTTTCTTGCTTGGAAAATCAATAAAATGTTTGAACAGGTATATCATATTTACTTGTTTTAAACTTTTTTTACATTTCTTTAGTTACTTCCTGGTTTCCATGCCTAGGCAAATGATGTCATACATCCCAGGAGTCTTCAGGAGGAGATGAGAGGCTTTCTTAGTTAAGCACACCCTCCTGTTTGCATGCTTGAGCTAAAGGCAGGTGAATTCCAGAAAGTAAATGCTACATAACCTTAAGATGTTTTCAAAGTGATTTCCCAGCAAAATAAAACATGACGACATGGACAGATGGGTGAGATTGTTTTGAATATTAAAAATGAATTAAACAGTATTTATATTTTGTGATGCTTAGATACAGTGAAGTTTCCCTTTAAATGTAATTAATTTTAAAACAATAGGTGCCTGTTCACAGGTGTTCTTCTGGACTGGAAGAATGCCAGTCACCATTAGGAGTAGGCAAATAGAAAACAATTGTTTTCTATGTGCTCCATTCACACTACAAAGCAGCCTGAGAGCTGATTCACACATGTGCAGTGAGGACTGAAGCTCAGGTTTCACAGCTAATTGACACAGTAGTTGTTCACTGGTTTATGTCAGGTATAGATCAGGTTTGGGACAGGATTATCGTGTTCACACATATGCGGTTTAGAAATGGTTCCCATAGAAGTCAATAGCCTGTAATACGCACCTGAACTGGACCGCACTGCTCAGAAATTGTACAGGACTCTTTTTCAAACCGCACTGAATCCGCACAGCCAGTGCACTACAAATATGTGAATAGGAAGCAATGTATTTTCACATGTCATATGGATTTGATGTTGTTCAAACCGCATCTGATGCACATATATGTGAACCGGCACTTAAGGTGTAGTGCAGTAAGCTGCAATAAAATGCAGACTCCTGCATTTTATCGCAGTGAACAGGAAGGCACCGCATGACACCAATCTGCAGCACAACGCACAATGCTGCTGTTAGGTGACATGAATGAAGTGTCACTTTGTGCATTTGAAAAAAAAATTTCCAAAAAAAAGGGAACTGTGGGATCTGCTGAAACACACAACACACCAACCTGTACTGCTGGCTCACGGCAGCCAAAACCTCTCCAGTTTAGTGTGTGCGCAGTGTGAACAGGCCTTAAAGTAATTTGTAACTAACGTGTGTGTTTTTTAGCTCTTTACTTATTCACACACCAGGATCAGGGGGGGACACAGAAAAGGGTTATCTGTCTTGCAAGGTAATAGCTGGCATCTTAAGGTGGGTGGGACGAGAAAGCAGAAACCATGGCAAGGAGCCAGCAGATAAATTAGGTCTCCAGACTACAAATTTAAGTGAAGCATCATTTTTGCTTGGTTTGACCCTTTCATAATATTTCAAGACAAGAAGGGATATACCTGTTCATTTTGCCTGGCCTCTGCTTCATCAGACTCAAACATTTGCTTTTGGAGTGTTTTTTGAAAGTCCTTCCGAGAGCCACTTCTGCTAAAGTTGCTTGTACCTGAGTTTTCCTGATTCCTAAAGGAAAATTTAAAATTCATTAAAATGTATGCATGGTCCAAATGTAAAATCATATATTCCTTTCCACATCGAATTCCAGTTATTTCTAGCCTACTACTATTAATATGAACAATCTTGAGGTTTGATAGCTTTCCATGCATTTACTTCCTTCACTATGCCCTGAGAGTAGGCACTGCTGTGTTGCACATTTTACAGAGCCTGCCTTCTGCTTGTAAATCAAGGAACGAGCAGTGAAGAAGACACAAAGCACAGCCAGCAGACAGGCAGCAATCACAGAATGTAGGGGATTTTTTCAAGTAAGATTATACTGGATTGTCAAAAAAACTATAATTTCTATTACTATTACAATATTAATTTTATAAAGTGAAAGTGCATACTGTGACTTTAGATCTCCTTTAACATGAAAAGTGCCTGTACTACGAATAAGGAAATCTCATGTCTTAGGCATGGTCTGGGGAAACAATGATTTCCTTCAAACTGAGGCATACTTTATTCTAATTTGATTATCTTGTTTAAAAAAACACAGGCCAGCTGTATTTTTATTATCAGTCACAGTACAGTACTCAATTTCCATCATCAGCCTTGCTCTAAAGTAATTCTCAATAAAAAAGTAAAAGAAATAAAGGAGCATGTAGAAAGAACCTTGAAAATGAACCAAAACTTGAAGTATGCATAAAGTATTTTCTACATACCTCTATGTGCTTCAATAGGTAGTACAAATAGCAACAATGATATATAGTATATATAAAACACAATAACCCATTGTTTTAAAAAATAATTTCATATTTTTCAATTAACTTTTACATCACTGAAATCAAATGAAAACCAGGATCCTTGCTTCACATGTTACCTTTAGAAATGTCATCTTTTTCCCACCTTAGGTGTGTCCCAGCCCTAAGATTTGGTCAAGCAAAACATTAACAGGGCTAAAAGTTAATATTTGCTTCCTTATTGTTTCATGTGTCATTTTTAAAAAATAGCAGTCCTATAAACAGCTAAGCACCTACACACGCTCTGCTTACTGGTTCTGCTTATCTAGCTTCCTCTGTTGTTGAGGAAGTGTCTACATGCACTTTACTTCAAGTTATAGTCATGTTCTTTATTTATGAGCACACTACAA